CTTTTTTAATTAACAAGTATAACCTCTTCAGTAGACATTTGAAACTTTTCCGTTGAAATAAAAATGCATGAAAGCAAAATGTTTATTTTTATTTTATCAACAATTGACAGATTTAAACTAATTGGATTTTGGCACTGAAAGCATTTACTGATTCAATTTCAATTAATTATTATTGTTGGGGATATAAATCTAAATATGCGATAAGAAGTCTTCACTTCTCCACAGTTGTTTTTGACACGGACCATTATAGAGTCAATTAGTTTAATATAGACCCAGCTTGGAATTGGTCTTTCCAGGCGAGCAACAGTTTTACCAGAAATTCTCTGATGCAGTAGTTAGAGAAACATTCCACTTCGAATTTCCGTGCTCTACGATGATTTGTGCCACCAGATTTGACCCTCTCCTAAAGCGAGAGCGCTGAATGAGAATAATAGGCATATAACAAATGCTTCAAGGGCCAAATGGAAAGGGATGAATAAAAAAATCTTTATTGAAAAAAGAATAAAATTTGACATATTTATGTTAGCAGATCTCGGTTATATTTTCAAACAACACAGTGCTCCATAGCAATGCTTTGTAAATTTTGTTAATCATCCCACTTCCCTGGATGCTCTAAAGAGTGTCAAGCAGCGTACTACAAACTAAAACCAAAGTTAAACTTGGTTTAAGAAAAATCATAAACCGCAGCAGGATGGAATGCGCAATACGATCTGTCCAACTCTTAAAATCTACGGACGTAGGTGGCATCTTTTCCGCTGTAGCGGACATTCTGGTAAGATTTGCTCTGCTTTTGTCTCCATGGGTATATTCCAACTGTGTGGAATAAGGCATAAGTAATCTTCATACGGAATGACCAGTCATATTTATTCCAAAGATTGACAGCCAAACTCTTGTAAGACCCAGAGAGGTGATCTAGTGACGGATGGCCAGAGCATACTGAGGCAACACTTCTCCAGCCAGGTGAATGGCAGCAGACGGTGGACCCGAAATTTCAATTGAAGACTTTGGAAGAGTTATTCCGTTACCCGACTATGAAGAAGTCCGAACAGCAATCATCCGCCTAAAGAACAACGAAGCGGAGAGGACCGATAGATTACTGGCCGAGCTATTCAAATACGGTGGTGAAGAACTGATCAGGTGCATACATCAGCCTCTTTGCAAAATATGATCGGATGAAAGCATGCCCGACGATTGGAAGGTAAGTGTGCTCTGCCCAATCCACAAAAAAGGCGATCCCACAGTCTGCGACAAATTCCCGTGGAATAAGCCTTCATAACGTAGCATATAAGGTCCTACCAAACTTATTTTGTTTTGGAAGTCTTGGAAAAGACCCGCGAAAAAAGAACACCACCTCTTCGTCGATTTTAACGCAGCTTTCGACAGCATGAGAAGGAGCTGCTTCTACTCCGTCCTAATTTGGTATTAAAACATTATACGGCTATGTAAACTGACCTTAAGCAACACTAAAAGCTTTGTCAGAATCGGGAAGGACTTCTCCGAAGCATTCGATGCCTAACGAGGCTTCAGACATGGTGATTTCTTATCATGTGACCTCTTTAATTGGATGTTGAAGAAAATAATGCGAGATGCAGAGCTGAATAGGGAAGGTACAATCATCTATAGGAGTGCACAGCTGCTGGCGTACGCCGATGGTATCGACATTATTGGCCCCAACAACCGCGCCGTTAGTTCTGCTTTCTCCAGACTCGTTAAAGAAGCGAAGTAAATGGGTCTGGTAGTGAACGAGCGCAAGACGAATTATCTCCTGTCACCAAACAAACAGATAACTTCGTCTAACTTGGAACCAGTATTAACACCAACAACAATGTCAGCCTGGAAATCCAAAGAAAAATCACTTTTGCCCACTGGCGCTACTTTGAACTGAGCAGGCAATCGAAAAGTAAAGTCCTTTCTCGGTGAATGAATACCAAACTCTACAAGTGAAAGGAAGAGACGAATGGTGCTAATATTGATTCGGGTATAATCGCGTAAGCGGTGCCAACGCCAATAAAGAAGAAGAACAGCCGAACAGCCTTACATATTATCTATTCCTCTAATCTTAGATAGAATGCTTGACGTCTATATACGTCAAGAGATATCTTCGTACTGCTTACTGGAGAGCCGGTATGCCTACTCTAATGGTAAATCTGTCGACACTGCCCTTCACGAATCGTGTCAAGGGTTGAGAAGTATCTTGCTCTCAAAGAGTATACATCATGCATTTTTCTCGATATCGAGCGAGCTTTTTAAAATATCTTAGAAGAACGCAATACTAGAAATATAATCAAGAGCGCATTTAGTGAGACTGGAGAAATCTATCTTAGGAAATAGCGTAATTTTTACTGAACTAGGAGTTGCAGCCACAACCAGATATGCCAAAAGAGATATCTCACAGGGCGAAATTTTTTCTCGACTCTTTTGGTGTCTCACAGTTAACACTGCTTCACAGATTAAGAAGCACGCGCTGAGAATCTCCCAAACAGCAACTGAAAAGCAACCCTAAGCTCTAAATGACCTACTCGAGAATACCCTTTTTGTGGCAAGCTCAGTTCAGAGATTGCGGTCGAGATGTGAGTCCCTCAAATACTGAATTGATACCTTTTAGCAGAAGGTATAAGCCGCCTGCTTTGGAGCCACCCTTACTAAACTATCTCACGCTTTGTAACAGCTGAAGCGATTTTCGGCCGAGCTCCTCCTCGGGACGGGAAAACGTAATAGTTCTGGCTCAAAGATCAGTAGCCATCTTCACGACGGCTTTCACCTCGATGGAAGAGTGGGTTTGCCGAGCTCGCTTCCAATCGAAATGAGCAAGAGACTTACCGATTACTGCTGCTGATCTTAAACAAACTCTCCACTGTATGTAAGACAACTGCAAATATAGATATCTCAGGACAATGCGAGCCCGATCAGCTAGCAAGATCGGATGCAATCCCAACCACAATCCCCGACACTGTTTGACGGCGACTCAAGGTAACAGAATGGTCTGTATAGGTAAAAAACCAAGATAACCTTGTTGTGTATTTGTGTCTCGATAAAAATGATCTGTTAGGGCTTTCTTAAAATTACCACGTTGCTTTAAACTGCCGTAGTTTAAATGGTGTCCGATAAAAAATTTATATCAGGTGTACAACTTTGCTTCCGCCGTTTTTTTTTTTCAAAATTAAAACCTTTATTGCGAAAAAGTGCTTACAGATATATTATTCAAAGTATTGTCCTGCGCTAGCGACAACTTTCTCCCATCTTTCCGGCAATTTTCGGATCCCGGTTCGAAAAAGGAGTCCTCTTTTGACGCTATCCAAGAAACAATCCCTTTTTCCAATTCTTCGAAGGATTAAAAATGTTGATCTGGCAGGCCGTGTGCCATCGAACGGATTAGGTGGAAGTCAGAAGGGGCGGGTGGGGTAAGACTTCCCATTTCAGCATTTCCAGGTACTTTTTGACCACTTTTGCGACGAGAGACCTAGCATTGTCGTGTTGGAGGATGACTTTGTCATGTCGCTCTTGATATTGTGCCCGCTTTTCTTTTAGCGCGCGACTAAGGCGCATCAATTGCGTTCGGTAGCGATTTCCTATGATGGTTTCACCCGGTTTAAAAGCTTGTAGTAAATCACACCGAGCTGATCCCACCAAATACATATCATAACCTTGGCGCCGTGTATTCGTTGAAACCACTCTTGACACGTTCTTTCACTCAGAGCAACATCACCGTAAGTTTCGGAGCGTGAATAATACGAAAACAAGAACAACTGCCACTTAAACGGCGATGACAATTCGTTAGACACTGTCCACACTCACTTTAAAGGCATTTCAACCAGCCTCAGCCGATACAGCCACCTATCGGAAAACGGCGGAAGCAAAGTTGTACACTTGATAACAAAAAATTATTTGTCCTGAACCGTGAATTCTTCCTTTTATTATTCTCTTATTTCATGGTTGGAAATGATTTACTATATGAACCTGACTTTGGAATTTTTAGCTATAAAAATCTGGTTAAATAATATGCTGTCTCTTTAGAAAATTAAAAAAAAATGTAAATGTGAATTTGTAGTTTTTTTTTTGAATTTTAATTGGTAAAATTCAAATAAAATTTTGGCTAAATTACTTCACTTACCGAAAGTAATTCGACTAAGTCACTTGGAAAATGTCGCGATTGCTAATTAAAAAAAATTGCGCACTAAATTTGCTGCTAATTATTTTTCTTTATACTTGACACTTACTTCTTCATATACATTTGTGTGTATATAAAAGCAGTGTACATATTGCCGGAGGTTTCAAAAAAGAACGAAAGTGTATAAGAAGCAATTGTGTGAAAAGACATTGAAAGCTTAGGTAAGTTCCAAAACATGCTCTGTGCCATTTACAATAAATAAGTAAATACATACATACGAAATACATACATATAGACATTCGTAAAATAGAGCACTACTAATTAGGTTACATTAAATAAGTGCAAAGTGTTTGAAATAGATAAAAATATAAAAAAAAAATAAATATATTTATATACATACATATACACATACTATGTCTAGTGTTTGTTTGTAGATGTGTAGAATACTAAGAAAAGTGTTCAATATTACATAAATTTATATGTATGTATGTACATCGAGATATTTATTTTACATATACAACAAAGAGTAGACCAGACCATCATCGTTTCATCTGCGTTAACTTTTTATGTAAATTCATAGAAAATGTTTAAATATTTTATGCAAATATCCCTCAATAATTTCAATAATTCCTCAACTTGATATAATAGATTTTAAAGTTCTAGCAATAAAATTTTCAATAATTTTGAAAAATTACGCTTTCTAGAGAAATATACATATATTAAATTTTAGCATACGTATATTTAATTGAGAGCGGGAAATTGGAGAGAGTAAGAGAGCTTAATTTATGCTTTTGCTTAGCTTAATTCAAATAATTTAGGTATTTTGGTATTTTGGTATTTATGTATTTTTTCACTTTTTTTTTTGAAGGTATTAAAGTAAAGAAATTGCAACCTTGTTGTTAGCACAGAATCTATGGTATCTCTACTTCCGGTTTCCGCTGGCATCGATTTGCTAAAAAATAGCCTAGCTAGATTGTCTAACCTCGCGCTAACCAATGGTGATTTTTCCGAGTGCTCGGATTGATCTGAATTATCTTGTTCCGAACTCGCTGATCGATTGCTGCAATAGAATAATTTTGTTTGCATCGAATGGAAACACAAACAGAAAAAAAGAAAAGAAACAAGGAATAGAACAAAGAAAAGAACACACACACACAAATTAGAAGATTATCAATTCAAAAAATGAAATCGTTCGAATTGTGGCAATTAGTTCAAAAATTAATTGGTAATTTGTATAATTTTTAAAATTTTTCAATAAAAAATTATTGTTTCTTTTTTGATATTTTTCCAAACTAATTAATAAACTAAGTGATTTTTATTGATTTATTCAAAAATCAAAAGTCCAAAAGTGTAGTGAAAATAATAGTGTTAAAGAAACTCAAAATTATTTATGGGCTATCAAATATTTGGTTTCTCTTTTTATTTTGTCAGTAAAAACCACTTACCTGCTGTAGATGTGTCGTCGGTTGGCAGCTGTCAGTGCGGATACGTCGAATTCGATCGCTGAATTAGAGCGCTTCAGTCCATTTTGTTTGTGTAATTTCTTCATTATGTGCTTAACTTTCCTGTGGTTTTGGTTTGTGTTGGTGTTGTTGTATGTTATTAGTTGCGCAATGATTGATTTTCGTCATTTGTTTCATTGGTTGCGGTTTGATTTCATTTATTTTTAAGTAGTTGTTAAGCAGCGATATTGAATATTAGTTATTTATTTAATTAAAATGAAGATGTGTTGGTTTTTAAGTTTCGAGCTTTGACCTTGGCGGGAGGTCGCGCGTGATATTGAAAGATACAGGAAGAGAAAGAGGCAGAGCAGACAGACAGAAAGAGAAAGAGAGATGTAAGCAGTGAAGGAAGGAGACAGAGAGAGAGAACAATAGAGGGACAGACAGAGAGAGAGAGAACAATAGAGGGACAGACAGAGAGAGAGAGAAAGAGAGTAAGAAATAGATAGAGGTGATAAGTAGTGGTTAAGTCAATATTTACCGTCTCTTATTAACCAGAGTATTCATGAATAAAAAATATGTTTGTAGTTTAATTTCTAAGAGAGGGCTCTACTAGTATTATTTCGCGTCGTGTTCATCTGTGGCTATATCCATTTCCAAGGTACTGTAATTTCGCGTCGTCTGCAGTAGATTTCATTTGTTTTAGCGTGAACAACAATTTGTTTCATTCATTTGAAAATTTTGGAATTTTTACCTGATAAAGTGTTTTTGCGTGGAGTTTTTCTTTATTACTTTAACATGAAGAAAAGTGCTACCGAAAGTTATCGTATTTTTCTGGACGTTTATGGTGACCATGCTTTAGCCGAACGAACGTGCCAAAAGTGGTTTGCACGGTTTAAAAGTGGCAATTTCGACTTAGACGTCGCTGTACGACCCGGACAGCCAAAAAAATTTTAAGACGAAGAATTGGAGATATTGCTCGACGCAGATGCATGCAAGACGCAAGAAGCACTTGCAAAAGTATTAGGATTTGATCAAGCAAATAAAGTCTTAATTTTCCAAAAAAAAAACCGCACGAATTAATGCATACACCCAATATATTCATGAAGTGAGTGTACCGAGTCTCATACGACCTGCGGGATCTATTTTTGTCATGTAGGTTACACAGTAGTGTAGTCAGACTTCTGCCCGTTGAAACGAGACCGTTATTAGGTCATCACGATGAGAACTGTCGGCAGGACAATACGTTTCGTGAAACAAGAGAATGTACTGCGAAATGCGAAGCGTCATCTCTTATTGCATGGAAAACTCTCCGTTTGAGAGGTTACAAGTTTAAGGTGCCGATGATGTACAGCGAAGCGGAAGATCTTCAATTGTAATTGACCACATGTGACGTTTAACGTTGTAACGAAAAGAAATAAATCCCCGAATATAGGAAACTGTCACCGAGAAGAATTTGGCGGGAAACTATTGTAGTTTGACGAAGGCTTACAAAAATGCATACTCCACTTCACTACCTATGCAGAGAGTAATAGCTACTATGTTGAAAAATAGCTTACGTTATGAATTAGTAATTATTTTGTATAAATAAAATTTATTAAAAGCTGCAGTAGAGTTATTTTCTGGATTGCCTCGCGTATCAGAGAAGTTTGATAGTTCAATAGATCTATTACGACATATTTCAAAGTCTTATAGCCGCGCTTGTTCACCAGTGGTGTTGCCTCGAGCAGTCGTCGGTCTTGAAGTAAGCGACTCGATACATAAACTTGTTTTTTAATTATACCTTCTGGTTTTGATGACGAGCGACGACCTTGAAACACCAATCCTAAAAGAGGTGTATAAAGCTTTAACCAGACCCCGAATAGTCAATACTGTAGCTATGATTTGAACGGTACATTTTGCCGTAATGGGGAAAAACATGATATGTTGAATAATCAAATCCGCCTCCGAACGGCTGATAGATGGTTTTTAAGAGCTCTTATTTCATCTCAGAAATACACTCGGACGGTTTGACATTCTAAGATTTTGGAAGGTGGTTGAGAACCAGGTCTCAATCCATGACTCGGCTATTGCCGCCGCCTATCTCAAATATTAGCAAAAATAAGTCTGTAATTTCAGAGATTTCTGCATTTACACGCATCTCATGCAGGACCAATCGCGTTTCCTCCCACCATAGTCAATTCTACACACAAAAAAGATAAAATTTTCAAAAAACTCCTTTTTAACACACTCACTTCTCGGGCACCGGTGGCCGCACGAACTGATCGTGACCAGTGCATGCGTTCGCACGATTCTCCGCACGATTTTGCGCCGCGGCTTTATTAAATTTGAACATTGTGAATGATTTCTTAGCGCTGGCTACTTCACAAACGCGCACAATAATCTTGCGACTACTCTTGAAGACCGTATTCAATGTCTTGTAGACGAGTATCGAGACGGACTTGGATGGTGGCGGATGCGAATGATGGCTGCCGTTTACTGTTGGCGGTGGATGTAGAGTGGCCGGCAGTGATTGTTGTTGTTTCAATTGATGTAAAGGATGTTGTTGCTGATTATGCTGTTGTTGCAGCTGCTGCTGATATATGTTGTTGTTGTTGTTGCTATGCAATTGTTGCAACTCCTGTATAACCTTAGATGATTGTGATCTTGTGATAACTTTTTGATTTTGCTGTCGAAGTGGTAGTGGCGCCGGTGTAGTGGTAAAGGGGTTCGTGCCACTGGATATGGGTGTGCTAATTGTTTTCGTTGGGTAAGTTGTTGGTTGTAGTGGTGGTTGTTGTTGTTGCTGTTGTTGGGGTGTGCTTGCGGGAGAGGTGGGAGTTTTGTTTGTTGTGGTGGTGGTGTTGTTGGTGTTGTTAGTGTTGCATGTGGAGTGCGTGGTTTTGCACGATTGCTGTTGCCTTTGTATTGGCTGCTGCTGTAGCAGTTGTTGTTGTTGTTGTTTTTCTTCAATGAGCAACAGCTGAGACGAAGGCTGTGTATGACTTTGCTGCAATAACGGCTGCGATTGCTGCTGCTCCTGCTGCCGGCAGCTGTTGCTAATGATGATCTCGTCCGCGCTGTGAGCTGGCGGTAAATTGCTCGTAATGTCCTGCGTTGCCAAGGGAAATGAAGGGAAGCGATACGCAGTGTTTTGTTTTTTTTTTTTGCAATTGGAAAATTTCAAAATGTGTTCGAATATACATTATTATTATTATTTTGTTGTTGCAATATTTGTAAATTTTTTCATTGTGTTTTTACATTTGTTGTGTTGTGAGTTGTTGTTGTTTGTTTGATTTATTATTATTCATTTGCGTAAATGAAACGAAAAAAGAAAGAGAAAGAAAATCGGTTTTAAAATTCGTGTTTTGTTAAGTAACAAATGGCTGTAAATCTTTATACAACAACAACAATAAAAGCATTTTGACATTTGACTTTGCACCGAGGCGTGCACAAGAAAGATAAAAACGCAGTTATAAACATAATCGTTGCAATTAACCATAACGAGTTGCGAGTGTTGCTGCTCCAAAAGCACGAGCGAGTGAATGATTGGTGAATGGATGATTGAACAACGCACACCGTTAGGGCAGCGCGCAGCTTGCTCGACATGAGTGACGGCGAAAGTGACGTGACGTTGACAATGTATTGTAGCATGTGAAAAGGACGCACTAGTGCACTGTTGCAACACGATATGACCTTAAGTAAACTTAATATTTGGCTATGTGTAGCAGCGGGATGTGTAAAATGGGCGTTAATGGATTGTACGCTTGCACTACTATATTTCGCAAACATGAATGATGGCATAACAGGGAAAGAGAGACTTCGCTGATCAGGATATGTACATATGTATATGCGTTGTGAGAGGTTATATGAATTTTTTCTCCAAGAAAACTTCAGCAGCTATGTGTTATATATTTACATATAATAATTTGTACCTACGTGTACGTATGTACAGTTGTAAGCGTGTTGATATGCTAATAATAATTGTTGCTGTACAATATATAAATCGAGTTTTGGCAATTTCAGAAGCATTTTTTTCTTATGGTTACTGAGTGTGGGGAAATGTGTATGAGTAAAGCAATTGCACGAATTTTGCTTTGGAAACAATTTGCTATGAACTATAAAAAATAATCCATAATTGTATGAACAATGGCAAACTCACAATTATTTAGCAACAACTTGAAGCGGATTTTGCTTTTTTATACTGCTTTCACTTTGTTCACGCCGAAAACTATTCTAAAATAAAACACGATATGTTTTTAGCATGATTTTCATTTTTAGTTTCCTTTTGTGTTTTCACTAGTAAATTTAGTTTAACTTAAACGAATTATCAGGTACACAAATGCCAATTTTTTATTTTTTCAACTAAAAAAGTAAAAAAAAGAAATGCAATACAAATAAATCAGTTTAATGCTTTATATTTTATATATTATACTTTATATTTAAATTTCATATTTATATTTTATATTTTATATTTTATATTTAAATTTTATATTTTTAAATTTTTATATATTTATATATTAAATTTTATATTTTATATTTTATATTTTATATTTTATGTATTATGTATTATATATTATATTTTATATTTTATATTTTATATTATATATTTTGTATTTTATATTTTATATTATATATTTTATATTTTATGTATTATATATTATATTTTATATTTTATATTTTATATTTTATATTTTATATTTTATATTTTATATTTTATATTTTATATTTTATATTTTATATTTTATATCTTATATTTTATATTTTATATTTTATATTTTATATTTTATATATTATATTTTATATTTTATATTTTATATTTTATATTTAAATTTTATATTTAAATTTTATATTTTATATTTTATATTTTATATTTTATATTTAATATTTTAAAGAAACTTAAATTAACCGAAAAGCTTAACTTAAAATTATTTGATGTTAAATAATATAAATATAAAGATCATTTTAAAATTATGAAATCTTCAATATTTTACAAATTAGGCATACACTAAAGATAATATTTGATCAAGCCAATACCAAATTTTGCAACTACTCAAAAGAAACTCACATGCTATTTATTAATTTTAGAAAAAAATTATACTAAATTTTAAGGAATACAAAACTCTATAAATGCAGCCAATTCTAAATATGTGTTACAAAAATTTATATTTGCAAAATAATTAATACAATGAAATTTTAATTTTTGGGGAATTTTGTAAATATTTATGATTTTTTTTTTAGATGAGAAATGAAAACCTTTTTTCTTTGAACTGTACAAAGTCTTAAAAACTAATCATCCGAAGAAGATAGATTTCTTTGCCATTCAATTATGGTTAGTTTTTTAAATAATTAAAAAATATGTTCGCCACAATTAAATATGATGGTTTCCTGGAGCTTCGAACATAGAGAAACCAGTGAGGATTTTCTTTCTTAGAAGGTTGTAGTTATCACATTCCACGCTAATGATAAATATGTAAATATATTGTTTTTTTTTTTTAATTGTCTGATATTGTAATTTTTCATAACCTAAATTTATCGATTTGTTTAGAATTGTTTTTTTATATTCCAAAAAGTGAAATATTTCTGTTTTTAAATATAACCATAATTTATTGCTTGATATTTTATTACAAAACCATTGATTTTTCGGGATTATATTTAAATTCGGTTTTTTTTTTGTAGTTGTAGTCTTGAGTCTACCGCAATTTTCTCATAGATATTTATTTCTAAACGCACTCATGCCTATTTCCGTACACATGCACACACAACGCTTGTATACACGCACACGCGCACACACGCACACACTGATTTATTGGCAACATTTAAGGGTAATTCAATGGTTTTGTGATTTCCTTATTCATGCCTTTAGAAATATTTTCGATACATCGTCTAGCGTTTCAAGATGATTGCTATTGTTTTTGTTATTTCGTACGTCAGGAAACCGACTAGCACGCATATACGTATGTATTTGCGTTCACCTCCCAAAGCGAGTATCTATTTAAGTAGCATCCGTTCGTGCAAAACCTGCCAACATGAGTTAGAAAAACAAAAAACCAAAAAAAAAACAAAAAAAAATTAGCAAAAATCAAAAAAAAAGAAATAAAAAATAAATAAATAAACATGAAAAAACCTGAAAAGTGAAGTTAAAAAGCAAGAACAACCCAATTGTGCGCCGCCACACGTGAGCTCAACGTCAGTTAAATATATATATTTTTTTTATTTCACTGTTTTCGTCGGCGTGCCGAAACGTGTCGTTGTAGTCCGACAACCTGCTCAAGACAATCAATTTGGTAAATAAATTTACTGATGACTTTCTGCTTGTTCTGCTTTGTTTTTTTTTTTTGTGTTGGTTCGACTGCAATTGATTTTTGTTTCAATTTACTTGGGATTTGTTGTACATTTACAAGCCATTGTTTTGTGTCGATTTGTCAATATACATATACAAAGTCGAGTCGTACATGAGTTTGTTTGTTGATGGCGTGTCATTGAAATCCAAACGAAAGTTAGCGGCGTGTGAAATACTTATACTTTGAGTTTACTCGTTGGTAGGTGTCATACTCGTTTGTTTTTATTTTACAATATATAGCGAGAAGTAGTATGGGCATATGTAGTAGTAGTGGTTGGAATAGGTGAAGGCATACTCAGGTAAGGCATTGTTTTGCCATGTGGGTAAGCTTTGATGCGTGTCACGTTTTGAAATGGAAAAATTATTCTTCCATATATATATATGCATATGTACATACTAATATTGTTGCTATTTTTTTTTATTTTACTGCTTCGTGATCGTAGAAACCAGAAACTTGGAGGGTGGGGCCTTTCTCTGGGAAGTAGACCTGAGACCGATTCATTCGACAAAAATCTCTTTCAGTTTTAAGTAGTACCATTTACAGGTGTAGACCAAAATCGATATGGGGAACAGTTTCTCATCCGTTCAAAAAACTCGATTTAGTTCGATTTATATGAAAATTAATACAGAGCTTGTTTCGTGTCTAAACTTCAATGGAGAACATATTTTTTTTTATTTTTACAGTTTTAAACATAGTTTTTAAAAAATACCTTTTTTTAATTCTATATCTTGTTTGCTTGTTGTAGAAAAGGTAGTGGGTTAGTAAAATAGTAGTACAAAAATTATATTTTATAATTTGCCATTTTTTATGGTAAAAAATTTTACAGATCAGAATTCAAAGAGAATGTAGAGAATAAGGAGCTCTCGACTCAGTTGCCCCATGTGCCAAAAGCATTCATTGCGTTTTATACTTTTAAGTTCGCTAAGATTGGAATTAATTTCTTTAACAATTATATTGCGATATAAAAACAGGTAGCAGAAGGTTTTTGTTTTGCCGAAGTAACCGTCCAAAGGTGCTTTGAAAACGATGACCAACTAAGATTTTCGAAACGCCTTCTACATAAGAGAAGATCTTCCTTTTTACCTCCTATAGATAGTGAGTCGTATTCAAAATCATTGAAATAAGTGAATAAATTTTTTCTGTATTTTTTCCTCCTTCTGATTTGTGATTTAAATAAATCATAACATTGTACCTTTTTTCAAATTAAAACTTCTAAAAAATGAAAAATCTTTCTGAATTCATACATTTTTTAATTAATAGATTTAATAAGATGGCAACGCTCCTCAAAAATATTTTCCACAGCAAACTTATTTGATTTATGGAATAAAGGTTGAATAGAAAAAAACTCTTGATTGACCTTCTTTAGCTTATACTTTTCCGTTTTTATCTAAGAGATGGCGTTAGTGTCCATAGTCCATAGTACTAGTGTTACGTGTGGCATCATGTCATACTATGCGGCACTGAAAACCTGTTTATTTGCACTTAAAGTTTGTCTTTGACAGTTCTTCGATTGATTGACTTAGTACGTTGTGAGCGCTCGTCAAAGATAGACACCAGTAAAGAGAAAATTCGCTATATTTTACAATTTTTCTTCGATCAAGGCGAAAAATCAGCAAAAGCGTCTGAAAACTTTATTTAGTCTATTAGCTCGATGGTGTAAGCGAAAGTGTAGCACAAAAGTGGTTTGCTAGGTTCCCTTTCCGGAAATTTCGATGTCAAAGATGCACCACGCTTCGAGAGGAATGTCGTCGAGAATTGCAATAAAATA